TGAAATAGTCAGACAAACCCCCGGAAAGTCCCGAGGAGAAGGCGGGCAGAGAGCCGGACAGAGCCGGCCTCAGAGTGTCACATGGCAGCGAGGAAGAGGACGGAGCCTGCGGGGAATTGGAAGCCGAAGCCCGGGCAGCCTGCAACGAGCCGCCCCCTCCGGCGCTGGTCTGTGAGCTCATGCTCGGGTGTGGGACATGAGGAAAAAAATAACTCGTCTGTCCGGCCAACAGGTTCACCGAGCACGGGTTCAATGAGTAAGTCGCCCCGGAGCAAGGCACAGAGAGGCCGCAGGGCACCGCCGAGGCCGCCAGGGCCGCCGCCGTCAGGTGGTGCGTCGCGTAGGGTAGATCCCCACCGACCAGCCGGTCCATGCTCAGCCCGTTGGAGGACGGGAACGACGAGTGGTTGTTGCTCATGTTCTGGGTGAGCATGCTGCTGTAGGACATCGGGTGGCCCGGGTATCCCGAGGAGGTCCCGTTGTAGCCGAGGGCACCGGCGGCCCGCGGGTGATGCAGGGAAAGGAAGGGGGACATGGGCCAGTACAAGGAGCCCGCCCGGTCCATGAAGGTCAGCCCGGAGGTCAGCCGGGCTCCGCGCTTGAAAGCCAGCTTGGCCCGGGACGTGGTGGAGCGCCGGCGGAGCTTCCCGGTGGTCCCACCGATGAAGACGTCGTCGCTGCTGGGGTCCAGCATCCAGTAGTTGCCCTTCCCCGGGTCATCGTAGTGCCGAGGCACCTTAACGAAGCACTTATTGAGGCTGAGGTTGTGTCTGATGGAGTTCTGCCAGCCCTGCTTGTTCTCCCGGTAATAAGGGAAGTTCTTCATGATGAACTCGTAGATGCCGTTCAGGGTGAGCCGCTTCTCCGGACTCTGCCTGATGGCCATCATGATCAGCGCGTTGTAGCTGAACGGAGGCTTTTCGTACTTGCCGCTTTTCTTCTCTCCGTCCTTCTCTCCTTCTTTTCCGTCCTTTTTCTCCTCCTGCTTCTCCTCCGGGCAGCCCTCCGCGTTCAGAGACTCGCTCTTCAGCTCAGCTTTGCCGTCCGGCTGGGAGGCCGGGAGGGGCGCCTTCTGCTCCGCATCATCCGGGCCAGCGACTCGGTGCTGGTTCTGGTTCTGGTTCTGGTGGTGGTGGTGGTGGTGACTGTTGTTGTTGTCGCTTTGCACGGCCTCTGGTACCAAACTGTTTATACTGAACGACGATTTCGGAATCATCTTCACCTCTTTGCGCTCTCCCATGTCCAACATCACCGAGCAGTGGAGGGGGGAACCGGCGGCGAGCAGAGGCGAACACAGCTGGGCTTCGGTCCTCCCGGTCTCCACCAGCGAACCAGGACGGGAAGGAAGGAAGGGGGGATTAGAAAGGAAGAAGGAAAGTATAGCCTAACAAACTATTTCATGTTCGGTTTGGGGAGAAAAGGGGAAACACACACAACACACATGTACACACACATCGATAGGAGACAGATAGCTGCAATTAATTAGGGAGCCGCAGCCACTAAAGCAAGTGAAAAACATTGGTTGGACCTTCCCAGTCCTCAGCCAACCAGGGGAACATTAGTATTAAACTTTAAGGCGTCCACTGCGCGCTCCACCAATCACGATGCGCGGAGAGACACGCACATCCGCCAATAGCGGGCACGCTGCAAAAAATAGCAGCAGCCTGAGGATTTGGTTCTGCGCTGCGGGAGTGTGGATAAACCAGGCCTAAAGCTGGAAATCTGCAGCATTACAGGGACTCTGCTGCTGAAGAAGGGATAGATGGATTTATTTAGGGTTATTATTTCTCCTTCACTCTGTTTGCGTCTCACGGTAAATCAGCGCAAAGACATGAGCCTGAACTTTCCAGACATTATGAAGAAAAAACAGACTTGTGGAAGTTGGAGCAACTTTTTGCAGCGCTCCATCAGCACTGATCCCCCCNCCCCCCCCCCTCATGTCAACTACACCGGAGCTGGAAGCGCGCGTGGTGCATGCGTCAGCCCAAATCCTCGCCGCTCTTCACATTTACACTCCTTCGATTCAAATATTTGCCCCTTAGGCGTCTGCAAAACTGTTTACATCCCATCTGAGGGAAAATAAACAGAGAGGGAGTCCGGAGGGCACGGACACGGACACGGTCAGCACACGCAGACGGGCTGGGTGGGGGGGTGGGGGGTCGCAGTAGACAGAAACACGGATTGTCTCTGGGGGGGGGGGGACGTGCATCCTGTAAAATGAGCGTGAAATATGCAGCGGGGAGGCGGAAAGAGTTGCATATCAATCGGCTGTTTCACTCCTACCTTCCTGCTGGAGACAGTTTCAGCAAACAAACAGCAGAAAACAGCTCTGCTCATTTGAAGCGGAGCTTCATGGGAAGATTCACAGAAGGCTGAAAATATTACAGCCTAAGAAGCGTTTTTGAAAACATGAGTTATTTGTCAGAAGTATTTCTGTTAAACCTGCAGTTTCTCTGTGTTTTAGAGGCTATTTTCACATGAAGGCGTCATCAGGCCGCAGAGTGAGTCAAACTGCTCCAAAATGTTTCAGTCATTCCACAACAATCCAAGAGGTTTCTGTCAGAATCCCCCACAGCTGGCTGTTGCCATCACCGCCTTCTGTGCCAAAGAGAAGAAATGGGTCAGAGAATAGAAGCGCGGCGCGCAGACACCGCGCAGACACCGCAGACATGCAGCAGGGCCAGCCTCACTCAGAGTTTACCCAAATATAAACAGCACATCAGGAAAAATGCTGTCAGTGTGTCTGCAGCAGAACATTATTCACAGTCAAGTTTGATTCTGTCTGGTTCTGTTGGGATAAAGCCACCCGTCCACCGCTGCGCAGCTGCCGGACCTGTTCGAGGCGCAGAGCCTCACAGCCGGCAGCGATTTCTTTATTTCCGGGATGTTATTCTTTAACATTTTGAAAACAATCATCATTTTATTTCAGATTCCACCTGGTTTTACAGATTCGTCCCTGAATCGGTGAGGTTTCCAAACCTCCAACTATGGACACGGACACCTAAACGCCTCACCTTTTAAATTAGTCCATTATTCCAAGGTGGTGCATTCATTTATTTATCCCCCTGAGACATAAAAAATAAAACCATATGTAACGTTTAAGATATATTTAATAAGTTGCATGATTATTGTTGTTGTTATCATTGCACGTGCTTTATTTACACTGCAAAAAATGCAATCTAAATAAGTCTTTTTTTAAGTGCACGTTGTCTTGAATTAAGGATGTAAGTGAAACACTTTGCCAATGGAACAAGATACTTTGATTTAAAATTAGGGGGAAAAACTATTTCTTATTTCAAGTGCATAATATCTAATTACTTTATTTTAAGAGTAAAAATACTAACTCCATTGGTAAATAATTTTATTTACCTGCTCTACAGAGTAAATACACTGAATACACTTAAATAAGACATTTTTTTTAACTAATTTTTATATCGTGTTTGCAGTGTGTTTTAGATGGGCTCCTGTCAGATGAGTTTTTGTCTATAACTGATCCCTATTTTTGTTTATTTCTGTTTTTTTGTTTTCCAGAGGAAAAATAACTTAGATTTAACACGATTCCTTAGCAAAAATAAAATAATAAAAATAAATTCCTAACCCTTTGAGTTTTTTTCTCCTGCCTGTCTTTCCGCTGCTGTTGGGGGTTGATCTCTGACGGTCAGTGAGCTTTGACTTGTTCTACCCGCTGCTTGTCGCTGAGGATGAACAAATCGCTCCGTCTGGCTGCTGAGCTGCAGGAGCTCCTGTCAGCCTGGATCCTGCGGCAGAAACAGGCTGCAGGAGGCGGAGGAGGCGCTGCACACAAAGCCCCAATCAGAAAAATCATGCTGAATAAAAATAAGATTTTAAACCCCGTTTCACGTCATCTGATCTACTCTCTATCTGAAAATGGGGACTATTTCAAATATAAAATCATTTATAAACCCGTTTAAAACAAGTTTGACCTCAACTAAAGGATTCTGCGTTTGTTTTGCTGCAGAGCTCGACCCTATGAGGCCTTTCTGTTCCCAGAATGAGGCGTTAATCCTCAGATGGACCGAGGAAAGGAAGGACTGAGTCAAACCAGAACATCCAAACACTAAACTAACCTGCTCACCTGCTCACTGCACAACTAATAATGAGAATACACTCACCTGCTCACTGCACAACTAATAATGAGAAAACACTCACCTGCTCACTGCACAACTAATAATGAGAAAACACTCACCTGCGTGGCTGTTTGTGTTTCATCCTCAGCAGAAGAAGCATTTTGACCAAACCAACCATCCGGATGCATGAAGCCAATATAAAGCCTCCCAATACTGGCTTTAGATAGAAATGTCCTTCTATTTATTGCACTATTCAACATAACATTTGTTTATTATCATTATGAAACAATGCTTGTAATGGCTACTTTTATTAGTACATAAATCTATTTATTTTGTATTCAAAGATTACTCAAAAATATATTTTCCTTCTTCGTTCTTCAGAACATTCTTCACATTTTCTTTACTTTGAAGAAGCAAAGCTAAATAGCATTTTATTCAGTTTAAAGGTCCTCAGCATCTGTCCTCTCAGAGGAATGATCTGATAAATATTCCAAGGAAATCTTTGTCGACTTTCTTTCTTTTTTCCAGATTTCTTTATTCATTTGCAGTGTTTATTCTACCCGTTAACCAGCAGCATCGTTCAGGTCAAAGTTTTCCTCCAAATTAAGCTGGAAGTTCTGTTTTTTGTTTTTTTTCTTTGATAGATGTGAAGCAGCATGTTTTCACCATCTGCTGTTTTCCTCTGAGACACAGATGTTTGGTGAAGCAGGACATGTCTCAGTCTCTGCCTTACCGTCACTGGTCAGCTTTAAGGAGGATCTTTTTTTCTCTTTCTAGTTTGAAATGGAGAAAAAAAAAGGTAAAACATCCAACCTGACAAAACTGCGAGGAATCCCTGCAAAAGAGTCACTTAGAGCTTCTGTAGATAGACACTGATTTCCTTCAATGGAAGTTTTCTTCGTTAGAAATCTTCAGAAAGTCATTTACATTCTTGTTTTTTGTTTTTTAATGGGAGGCTGTATTCAGTTTTCACAGATTTCATTTATTTCTGACACGCTGAGGTCTGCTGCATGTTTTGATGCAATTAAGGTTATATAATTCTATAGATCAGATCGGTCACATCTACACTCTTATATTTCATTTCTTCTCAGAGGGAAGTTTAGACCTGGATCACAGGCTGGGATCTGATCAGAAGTTGGATAAACCAGGATGAGAGGAAACCTGTGGGACTAGTTATGTCCCACAGGATCACTGATCAGGTCTGATTGACAGAACAAACCAATAATTCTCTTTGCATGAGTTTCTCATCAGAGAGGAGCGGCTCATTATTTCCGGATCCCTGCGTTTCCAACATGGCAGCCAGACGTGGTGATGCGGAGCTGACTGCTGCTCGCGTTCATTTAACTCACATGATGTTATTAAGTTAAAGCTCTTAAAAATCTCACCTGATGCACGTGAGCTTCAACATTTGTCACATAAAATTAAAGATGAACTTGGATTATCTGGATTTTCCCGGGAGGATCCAGGTGATCTGATGTTTTCACTCATTTCAACATTTAAAAAGAAATATATTTTCAGCCGATATATATTTTACCTGCATGTACCTTTGTTTTTTGGTTTCTTCACATCATCCTAACACCATCCTTCCCTTTAATAGAAAAAAAAAACATGTGAAATTCCCTAAGATGGATTATAAAGAGCACTATGGCTGCAGGTTTCCCTGTAAGAACAGTTAGTATCTAATAATGAGAGAAAAATCAACTGTTCAAAATCACAGGTTTACGGTTTATGGATTAATTTTAAAACATTTCATCCCGTTATTTGTTTTTTTTTTCTTTCATGGCCATTTTTGGGAATTTGAATCAATGTGTCTCTGCTGCAGAATCCATCCTGGGACACTTTCAGTTTTTATTCCGTGAGGAAATAAAAGATGCTGAAATGGGAAGCAAATGTCTGGTAATGGTATTTTCAGTGTGCAGCTCTTCTTACCTTCTAGAAAAAATATTTGATTCATTTCTCAATAAATCTCTATACAACAAAGCAGAATCTGCGCCTTTATTTACTTACTGTTATTTTTTACAAATCGTCATATCCTCTATGGAAGCCTGTAAGGACACAAACAAAAAAACATTAAATTAAACATTAAACAAACAAGAAAGACATTAAATTCATGATCGTTCTCAACATTTTTGGCTTAAATCAACTTCATTTTTTTACACTGCAGATAAATGTATATTTTTATAGATAAATGTGTTTTTTCTTTGTTAAATAATTATGAAAGCTTTAAAACTTTAGATTTCAGTTCATCCGTGATCAGAAAGAGAAATCCTGATCTGTCAGACTTTGATTGATTCCTGATTAAAAATCAACATTAAGCAGGAAAATGAAAGCTGTAAATTTCTCAAACGGATTTCTTTCCATTCAGAGATGAAGTGAAGAATCAAAGTTTGAGATAAAAATAGACTGAGATTTAACAGACAAAAAGATGAAAATATCTTTAGATTGAGGCTGTTTTAATCAG